CATATCAACAGATGCAGAAACAGCATTGGGGAGGTGGCCACTGGAGCTGCAGGAACCAGTGGGAGCCTGAGGGTGGGCTGTCAAGCTGTATGGGCTGGGAGAATGGGCTCGTCGTGGAAGAGGGACAGTGCTGCCCCCACGTGCACAACATCACTCGTAAGGTAACAAATCGGAAGTATCGAAAGGTGAAAGAAGTAGATGATGTGCTTGGTGGAGCAGCTGCCGGGAGAACGTGTTCTCTGCTGCTGAGCCATGTCCCAAATGTGAACATCCTGTGCCTATTTTACGCAGCTTCAGACCCGCACTGCAGATGTGCCAATGGTCACCTTCTATAAGTGCTGCGATGCTCAGCGTGGACACCGCTAGAGAGACTTGGGCCAGGCTGGCCCAGCTGCCTTCGTGTCTGTTTACCTTATTCCCCAGAGTGGATTCTCAGCTAGGAGGGAGCACTTGTATCCTGAGGGTCTTTGCTGGGGGGGGCAGAAAGTTAATGATTTCAGGGTTGTTGGCCAGGGTGTCAGATGATGGATAGCCCATCTGCCAATCACTGGATGAACTCAATGTCCAGGGAGACTTTGTATGGGGGAAAGATTATCCACAACTAATTATACTCTGTTTAATTTCCTGTTCATTCATCTTTCACATTTATTGGGCAACTGACATTCTTTTACCAACCACCAACACTCTTAAATATTTCTATTATTTGCATAACTAATGAAGTACAACTTATTTAGTTCCTAAATATTTAACTGTTAAATGAAAACTGATTTAATCGAAGTTTATTCTGAATATTTAATTATAATGAAAAGTTTAATACTGCCTTCTCAGTGTTTTAAATGACTTAAGAAGTTGATGTTAGCCCTAACCAGCTTGGCTCAGTGGAGAGAGTATTGGCCGTGGACTGAAGGGTCCTGGGTTTGATTCCGGTCAAGGGCATCTACTTTGGTTACAGCTCTATCCCCACTAGGGCACGTGCAGGAGGCAGCTGATTGATGTTCTGCCCTCGCATCATGTTTCTCTTTCTCCATCTCCCATCCTCTCTCTCTAAAAATCAATACAAATATTTAAAAACAAACAAAAACTAGCTGGGGTCAGGATCTAGGTTATTGGTGGATTTATTGGAACTTAAATTTATGCCTTTGATACAGATTTTTACTTTTGTACATGGTATTTTTCCCATAAATGAGTAATTTTTTTCCTTTTGTAATTTATTTTCATTTTCACAAGCTATCTATATTAATAGAAGAATATGCTAATTAGACTGGGTCGACTGGACATCTTCCAGTTATCCTGCCTGCCTTCCTTCCGGACAAAGCCACGGTGGTGGTGGCCGAGGCAGAAGCAGTTAGGGGTGATCAGGCCAGCAGGGGAGGCCAGTTAGGGGTGATCAGGCAGGCAGGCAGGTGAGCAGTTAGGAGCCAGTGGTCCCAGATTGCGAGAGGGATGTCTGGAGGGTCCCAGATTGGAGAGGGTGCAAGCCAGGATGAGGGGACCGCCCCCCATGCACGATTTTGTGCACCGGGCCTCTAGTACCATAATAAAACTTTATAAAAGTTACTCATGTGAAATATTTCTCTTTAACATTTTATAAGTTAATTAAATGCATGCCACAATAAAAAAAAAAAAGAAAAAGCATTAGACAAAATCCAACACCCATTTTTGATAAAAACTCTCAGCAACATGGGACTAGAGAGAGCATACCTCAACATGATAAAGGCCATGTATGACAACCTACAGCCAACATCATACTCAATGGACAAAATCTAAAACCATTTCCCCTAAGAACAGGAACAAGACAAGGATGTCACTTTCACCACTCTTTTTTTTTTTTTTTTTATGTTTTATTGATTTTTTACAGAGAGGAAGGGAGAGGGACAGAGAGTTAGAAACATCGATGAGAGAGAAACATCGACCAGCTGCCTCCTGCACACTCCCCACTGGGGATGTGCCCGCAACCAAGGTACATGCCCTTGACCGGAATCGAACCTGGGACCTTTCAGTCCGCAGGCCGACGCTCTATCCACTGAGCCAAACCGGTTAGGGCAACTTTCACCACTCTTATTCAACATAATACTGAAGTCCTAGCCACAGCAATCAGACAAGAAGAAGAAATAAAAGGTATTTAAATTGGAAAGGAGAAATTAAAACTCTCATTATTTACAGCTGACATAATACTGCACATTAAAAAAAAACCCTAAAGACTCCATCAAAAAACGACTAGATTTAATCAATGAATTTGGCAATGTAGCAAGATACAAAATCAACACCCAGAAGTTGATGGCTTTTTTATACACCAATAGTGAATTCTCAGAAAGAGAAACTAAATAAACAATCCCATTTACCACTGCAACAAAAAATTTAAGATATTTAGGAATAAATTTAACCAAGAAGGTAAAAGACTTGTACTCAGAAAACTACAGGACATTGGAAAAAGAAACAGAGGAAGATATAAACAAATGGAGGAACATATGTGTTCATGGATTGGTAGAATCAACATCACGAAAATGTCCATACTACCCAGGCAATCTATAGATTCAATGCATCCCATTAAAATACCAACAGCATATTTCACAGATCTGGAATAAATACTCTAAAAATTTATATGGAACCCAAAAAGACCCCAAATAGCTGCAGCAATCTTGAAAAAAAAAAAAAGTTGGAGGAATCACAATACCAGATTTCAAGTTATACTACAAAGCCACCGTAATCAAAACAGCCTGGTACTGGCACAAGAACAGGCATATAGATCAATGGAACAGAACAGAGACCCCAGAAATTGACCCAAGCCCCTATGCTCAATTAATATTTGACAAAGGAGGCAAGGACATACAATGCAGTCAAGACAGTCTCTTCAATAAATGGTGTTGGGAAAATTGGACAGATACATGCAAAAAAATGAAACTAGACCATCAACTTACACCATATACAAGAATAAACGTAAAACGGATAAAAGGCTTAAATGTAAGTCGTGAAACCATAAAAATTCTAAAAGAAACCATAGTCAGCATAATCTCAGACATCACTCATAGCAATATGTTTATGGATACATCTCCTGGGGCAAAGGAAACTAAACAGAAAATTAAAAAATGGGACTACGTCAAAATAAATGGCTTCTGCACAGCAAAAGAAACCATCAACAAAATGAAAAGGGAGCCCATTACATGGGAGAACATATTTGGTAATGGTACATCTGATAAAGGGTTAATATCCAAAACATATAAGGAACTCATACAAGTTAACAAAAAGAAGACAAATCATCCAATTAAATAATGGGCAAAGGACCTAATAGACACTTCTCCAAAGTGGACCAGAAGGCCAAGACATGAAAAAATGCTCACAGTCACTGATCATCAGAGAAATGCAAATTAAAACAACACTAAGTTATCACCTCACACCTGTCAGAACGGCTATCATCAACAAATCAACAAATGACAATTGCTGGTGAGGATGTGGAGAAAAGGTAACCCTAGTGCACTGCTGGTGGGAATGCAGACTGGTGCAGCCACTGTGGAAAACAGTATGGAGTTTCCTCAAAATATTAAATATGGAAAAAAAAATTAAATATGGAACTGCCATTTGACCCAGTGATCCCACTTCTAAGAATATATCCTAAGAAACCTGAAGCACCAATCAGAAAGAATGTATACACCCCTATGCTCCTAGCGGCACGATTTATAATAGCTAAGATCTGGAAACAGCCCATGTGCCCATCAGTAGATGAATGGATAAAAAGCTGTGGTACATTTATACCATGGGTTGCTCTGCAGCAATAAAAAGAAGGATCTCTTACCCTTGGAGACAGCATGGAGGGACCTGGAGAGTATCATGCTAAGTGAAATAAGTCAGTCAGAGAAAGACAAGTATCACATGATCTCACTCATATGTGGAATCTAACAAAATAAAATGATGAACAGAGTGGATCCAGACACATGGAAGCATAGAACAGAGTGCAGAATGTCAGTGGGAAGATAGGGGAGGGTGGGTGGGTGGGAGCTAACCAACCAAAGAACTTGTGTGCATATATGCGTAGCCCAAGGACACAGACAATAGGATGGTGAAGGCTTGGGTGGGAGCGGGCTATAAGTCAATGGGGAGGGGAGGGGGGGGTATATAATACTTTCTACGATAAAGATTAAAACAAAAAAATTACGTGTAACTAAAAAAAAAGACAAACCCTCTCAGGTAAAGGCCAATAATGATTTTTGGAGTCTCAATGGTATGAAATAAATTCCTGTTCTTAAGAAAAAATAAAATAAAATCACATGGAAAAAATAATAAAATAAAATATGAGCTCCACAAGGGCAGAAACTTTTACCTGTTTTGTTGAGTAAAATATTTCTAGTGTCAGATGCTCAATAAATATTTGTTAAGTGAATGGATAGTATTACTAACATTATATTGCATTTACTTATAAACCAACCACCTTCCTCAGTTTACCAGCCGTGGGCAAACTACGGCCCGCGGGCCGGATCCGGCCCGTTTGAAATGAATAAAACTAAAAAAAAAAAAGACCGTACCCTTTTATGTAATGATGTTTACTTTGAATTTATATTAGTTCACACAAACACTCCATCCATGCTTTTGTTCCGGCCCTCCGGTCCAGTTTAAGAACCCATTGTGGCCCTCGAGTCAAAAAGTTTGCCCACCCCTGGTTTAGACCAAAGCTCCCCGAAGACAGAAAATGTATATTATTATCGGCCCTTAATAAATGTTGATTTAGTAAGTAATGGCCTTTGTAAAAACAAGGAGGTGAAAATGAGTTGGCTATATTTGGGGCACAAACGTATTATTAGGTATACAAAACAGTCATGATGAAGAATCAAAATAGATGAGAGTAAAATAACTGCAAAATGAGACATGGTAAAAAACAACAACAAACACTTAGTTGTATAAAATGAATCCTACATGATGGGGAATGTGCTTGGAAGGTGCCAATTCCTTGCCCCCAAATAAATTCAATGTGAATGCTCAGTGGGGATCCACCCTCTGAGACCTCTAACCTGCGGGACTGTGGTCTCCAGGTTGTAGTGTTTATTTAGGAACTTCAGCAGCTTCGGTGAGGGTCGGTCAATGGCTAGTTGGTGTGGTTCAACTCGCTCCTTCTGCAGGGAACAGGAGACTCAAGGTAGAAGGTGTGGGGAGAACATGCCAACAGAACTCTGGAGCCTGGGAAGGGAATAGGAGGACATGGGGACATTGGGGAAGGGGAGGCAGAGGCGAGTAGGGCTCACAGCAAAGGGGCCTTTATTCTTCCTTTGGACAGATTGGTGAATAGAGAAGTGATACCTGCAACATATACTGGAAGAGTTCTCGCCCGTGGCCATGGCGTTGAAGTGTCTCGTGGATGTAAAAGTCCAGGATGCAAAGTGGTTCCACCTCATTGTGAGCCTCACGATCATCCTAAGAGGTAAAGAACAAGTATCTTTTCAGGACCAAGACATTGCTGCCACCTCCCACACTTCAGAACTGTTGTTTTCGGGAATCAAGGCATATGAACTCTCAGCCTCCAATAGCACTCACCAGTACAAAAAGTTTCTTGTAGCCAACTTTGAGGAAACCAATAATAGCTCCTTTTCCAGCCCTATGGGATGGGGAGGATAATGAACAAACGAGTAGCAGCTCTCTGAGAGAGTCCACATGAAAGGGGCTGGGGAGGAAAGGTGCGCGATGGAAAGCGTGTGGCACTCACGGTCGAGCGGAGCTGTCTTTGAGCACATACATAACATGGCGGTTACTCTGCATCCTCGATGCACTGGTGATGGGTGCAGGAAGATGCTGGGCCTGCAGGTAGACAACAGGCATTTTGCAAGTCCCTTCCTAAGGACCAGGCCTCCCTTATCTACTGTCCCCGGGCGTCCAGTACCTTGGCAGAAGCCTTGCCCAGTTCATCTACGATGGTCATAAGTTGCTGCTGCACATCAACACTATAGAGAGGACAGAGGGAGAGTCACTGCCGAGGGCTCTGACGGTCATTCCCAGGGCCCTGGCCGCAGCTCCCACCCAGGCTCAGCACTGAAGACCAGGACTTGACCTTGCTGCCTTCCAGTCAGACTTTCCCATCCCACCCTCTGGAACATGCACTTCTGCCACACCCCCTCCTCCCCTGAGGCTGCTGTGGGGAAGCAGAGAGGGCGGGTCAACCACATCCTTCGGCCGAGGGGTGGAATGTCATAGATCCAAGTGCAGATCAATCCCTCTAAGTGTAGGGTGAAAGGGCACCAACAGGTCGAGCCAGGACCTCAAAAGGAGGGTCATCGTCTGTGATAAGGGGGCGTGGTGCCGGGACCAGGTATCTAGGGGAACCGGGAGAGCAGGGCCTCGGGGTGGGTTTGAGATGTCACCGGGCTGGCGTTGTGGTTCCGGGTCGGCGGGCCGGGGGCCGCAGGTGCTGGTCCAGCACCGTGATCCGCTCTGGCAGCAGCGCGTCCACATCAAACGGGAACTCCATGGCCCATTGTGCAGGGCCAACCCCGCCCGCGTAGCGTCACTTCCGTCCTGCCCTGACGCCCCGCCCCTTGGGGTCTATTTCCTTTGCTGGGAGGGCCCGCAATCCCCGCCCCCGGAGCCCTCCTCTCCTCACCAGCACCGGCCCTTAGCAGCGCCCCTCCACCGCCCCGCCCCACCCAGCCCCCGGCCCCAGGGAACAGCTGGGTGGGGTGCACCGAGGAGACTGGCTCAGGCACGGGGGCCCACAAACGTGGTCGGGGCAGAAGGGCACCAGCGCCCATTCGAGGGGGCTTCTGGTCCTGAGTCCCAGGCTGGGCGGGCTCCCCCCTGACCAGTCCCCTCCCACAGCAGCACCCATTTGCAGAGACTCATCCGCAGACAGAAGAGCTTTATTGTAGAAAAGCCAAGCTGGCAGCAACATAAGGTTGAGCCCATCTAGTTGCACTGCGGGGGGATTAGGGTTTCCCACATGCACCCCGCTGCTCTCCCTCAGCCTCAGATATATTTCTCCTCTTCAACAACCATCATTTCCTTTCACTGAGCCTGGACCTGCCGTGGGCCATAAAACAAACCCAACTCTTCGGGGTGCACCCCACCATGTAATTCCTAGGCATTATCTCCCGACCCCTCGCACCCTGCCCAGTCCACGGCTCCTACAGAGGATTCCGGGAGCCCGCCCGATCAGTGGAGGCTTCCGCCTCAGGCATTGCCGCAGGCGGGGGGCCGCTCTCTTCTCGGAGATGGCCCTGATACAGGCGACGAAGGCGGGACAGCTCTCTCTCTGGTGGCTGTTTCCAGCTGTACCAAGGGTACCAGGGGTCGCCTGAAACCAGAGTGGGAGCAGGTGGAGTAGCATTCACAGCTCCATGCGTGTTACTGAAGTCAACGTCCCGAGGTTCAACCTGGGGAATGTGGTAACTAAGGAGACCTAGGGGATTTAAAAAAAGAGAGAAAGTGAGGGAAGGGAGCTAGGTGGGACCGTTCAGATTAAGACCCAGGAAGGAAAACAACCCATAGAGGAAGGAGGAAGCAGTCACAGCCACTGGGTACACTGCACAAAGGCCAGGTGGCCAGGGGCACAGTGTGAGCTAACGTACTGCCTGGGCTCTGGCCCACCAAGCTGTGCAGCCCTGTGCCAGGGCCATGACGCTGCATCTGCCATAATGGAGGGGCACCTTTTCTAATTTATAGAAAGGAATTATGGAGCCAGGGCCAGAAATTTATACAAAGACCATCTTATGGCACTGGGACTAAAAAAGAGGGAAGAAAAAGGAAAGAGGAGGAACAAGGGGACAAGGACAAGGTAACAGACTCAGGAGAGGGAATAAGGGACATAAGTGATGAACGAGATTTGGAAGAACATGATGGGTACTAACTTCTCAGGTAGGTGGGAACATTTATATCTATTCTCTAGCCCGAAGTCACCTTCTTGGTGTCTAACAAAACTTCTCAGGACCCCTCCTCACACTCACCATGCTCCCTGGCTTTCTGGATGGCCTGGGTCAACTTCTTGTGCTGCTTCATACAGACTCCTGCAGAACAGAAAGGTAACTCTGCTCATCCTATCAGGCACAGTAAGTAAAGAATGCATACCACTTCTAGGAGGTGAGAGAGGGCTGGCTTTGGAAGACCTGGCTACCCATTCTCCTGACCCCTCCATGGCCTAATTCCCCACCTGCCCAATGGGAAGAAACCCTCCTCTCGCTGAGAGCTGGGATCAACACTCAGGAGTCCCTAGCTACTACAGAGAAGCCATTTAACGGCAAAGGCTGCAACACAGGGAACAGAACACAATTCAAAAGGCAAGTGTGCTTAACTGGGTAGGTCAATCCACAGAGAAAATTCAGTAAAGGAAGAAAGGATTTCAGGTCTAGGGAAGGCAACCTGAGAGAGTAGCAATGAGTCTCTTCAGTTTTTTACAGTTTGACAGGAGTTTCGAACTACTTTTTAACACTCCCTGACAAACAGAATTCCACTAATTATGCTGCCATCTACAAAAGGGTAAGTTCAGATTATTCTTTGCAAATTTATCTTATATTAGCAGGCCCTGGCAAAATGTTTCTGTATATATTTTAGGCATTGTAGGCCCTAGAGTCTTTGTCTCACTACTCAACTTTGCCACTGTAGCCTGGAAGCAGTTATAGATACTGAAAACCAATGGACACTGCAGTGAGTCAGATTTAGCCGTGGCTGTAGTTAGGGAATAGATGTAATCTTTTTTTTTTTTTTTTAATATATTTTATGGATTTTTTTACAGAGAGGAAGGGAGAGAGAGAGGGATAGTTAGAAACATCGATTCAGCTGCCTCTTACACACTCCCTACTGGGGATGTGCCCACAACCAAGGTACATGCCCTTGACCGGAATCAAACCGAGGACCCTTCAGTCCACAGGCCAACGCTCTATCCACTGAGCCAAACTGGTTAGGGCTAGATGTAATCTTTTTTTTAAAAAACTTCCTACATTTTTTTTAAAAATTATATTTTATTGATTTTTTACAGAGAGGAAGGGAGAGTCAGAAACATCAATGAGAGAGAAACATCGATCAGCTGCCTCCTGCACACCTCCTACTGGGGATGTGCCCACAACCAAGGTACATGCACTTGACCAGAATCGAACCTGGGACCCGAGTCCACAGGCATGCTCTATCCACTGAGCCAAACCGGCCAGGGCCTAGATGTAATCTTTTTTTTTTTAATTAAATCTTTATTGTTCCGATTATTACAGTTGTTCCTCTTTTTTCCCCCCAAAGCTCCCCTCCACTCGGTTCACACCCCACCCTCTGCCCTTACATGCCCCCCACTGTCCTCATCCATAGGTGCATGATTTTTGTCCAGTCTCTTCCCGCATCCCCCACACCCCTTTTCCCCGCAAAAATAGTCAGTCCACTCCCTTTCTATGCCCCTGATTCTATTATAATCACCAGTTTATTCTGTTCATCAGATTATTCACTTGATTTTTAGATTCACTTGTTGATAGATGTGTATTTATTGTTCATAATTTGTATCTTTACCTTTTTCTTCTTCTTCCTCTTCTTAAAGGATACCTTTCAGCATTTCATAAAATACTGGTTTGGTGGTGATGAACTCCTTTAGCTTTTCCTTATCTGTGAAGCTCTTTATTTGACCTTCAATTCTGAATGATAGCTTTGCTGGGTAAAGTAATCTTGGTTGTAGGTTCTTGCTATTCATCACTTTGAATATTTCTTGCCACTCCCTTCTGGCCTGCAAAGTTTCTGTTGAGAAATCAGCTGACAGTCGTATGGGTACTCCCTTGTAGGTAACTGACTGTTTTTCTCTTGCTGCTTTTAAGATTCTCTCTTTGTCTTTTGCTCTTGGCATTTTAATTATGATGTGTCTTGGTGTGGTCCTCTTTGGATTCCTTTTGTTTGGGGTTCTCTGCGCTTCCTGGACTTGTAAGTCTCTTTCTTTCACCAGGTAGGGGAAGTTTTCTGTCATTATTTCTTCAAATAGGTTTTCAATATCTTGCTCTCTCTCTTCTTCTGGCACCTCTATAATTCGGATGTTGGTACGTTTGAAGCTGTCCCAGAGGCTCCTTACACTATCTTCGTATTTTTGGATTCTTTTTTCATTTTGTTTTTCTGGTTGGGTGTTTTTTTCTTCTTCGTATTTCAAATCTTTGACTTGATTCTTGCGATCCTCTAGTCTGCTGTTGGAACTCTGTATAATATTCTTTATTTCAGTCAGTGTATGCTTAATTTCTAGTTGGTCCTTTGTCATAACCTCGAGGGTCTCACTAGATTTCTTGAGGGTCTCACTACATTTATCAGCAGTCTCACCAGACTTTTTGACGGGTCTTACTAAATTTATCGGCGGTTTCTAGAAAGTTCTCGAAAAACCTTATAAATGTGGTTTTGAACTCTATATCCAGTAGTTTGCTTTCCTCTATTTCTGTCATTTGTGTCCTGTTTCTTTGTCTCCACATTTTTTATGCTTCCCTGTGTTGATAGAGTGGCTTTGTGTGCTAGGTGTCCTATACAGCCCAGTGGCTCAGCCTCCCCAATTACCTGAGGTAGACACTCTTGATGCACCCCCTTGTGGGCTTTGTGCACAGTCTTGTTGTAGTTAAGCCTTGATTGCTGTATCACTGGGAGGAATTGACCTCCAGGCCAATTGGCTGTGAGAATCAGCTGTGTCTGCAGTGGGAGAACTTCTGTGCTGGAGACACCCTTCTGGGGCAAGACTTGCTTCAGTGGGGCTTTGGTGCTCATTGAGTCTGCCCCCTGAGTGTGTCCTTTATGGATCCAAGGAGCTGCAATCTGGATGGTCCCACTCTGTCTACCAGGTACACTGGCACCTGGATCTCTAAGGAGGTGCTAATCTAGCCTCTGCCTGAGGCTACCCAGCAGGAGCTCAGTGTCAAGCAATGCAAGTTGCTTAGGGGCCTTGGGCCAGCTACAGTTTGTTAGGTAATTTTCAGAGTGCAAAGGACCAGGTCTTTCATATGCAAAAGCCAGCGCACAGCTTAGTGGGGCAGGGGTCCCAGGGGATCAACAGGGCAGAGCAAGCAGCTATGGCTGCCCTCAGAGGCCCTGCTTCTCAGTGTCCCTGAAATCGCTGCAAGCACCTCCGAGAGAAAGCTGCCCTCGAGTTCCCACCGATGCCAGACAGTCCAGTTTCTCCCATATGAGTCTGGGTTCCCAGAGACTCAACTGGAACTGGAGCTCAGAGCTTGAGATTGAAAAAGACAACCGTGTCCTCAGCCGCCAGCCCTCTCCGCATGCGCCTCTGTACTTCTGTACTTTACTTCCGCACCGCAGCTCCTCTGAGTCTCGGTATGCTTTTCTCTTTCCTTCTAGTTGTAGAATTTCCACTCAGCCAGCCTTCCTGTGGTTCTGGATGATATCCATTCCGTCTTTTAGTTGTATTCCTGAATTGGCTGTGCTAAGCAGCAATCTCCGGTGTTTACCTATGCCGCCATCTTGGTTTTCTAGATGTAATCTTGAATTACTAAGTTTACAATTCCAAACTTGGGAAATCTAATTGAATTGTCAACAGTATAAAAGAACTTACAGGATTGTAAATTTATAGGAAAGCCTTTTTCTTTTAATATATTTTTATTGATTTCAGAGAGGGAGAAGGAGAGAGAGATAGAAACATCAATGTTGAGAGAGAATCATGGATTGGCTGCCTCCTGCATGCCCCACACTGGGGATCAAGCCTGCAACCTAGGCATGTGCCCTTGACCAGAATCAAACCTGAG